AGGTTCCCGGTACCAGGTTTCCTGTTCAACCCGTCACATATGAGGATATATTAATGCCGTAGTAAAAGCAGTACTTCAGCAAAGTCATGTATGCGGAAGGCAGCATGAGCGAAAGTGCAGAATTTGGCTGTAGCCAAGCGCAATGCACATTGCATTGTGTGCATGCAGCTAATGCGTAGTTGCATTAAAATGGCGAGTTCTCCAGCACATACTGCCGGTCCGATATGCCGCAAATTAAACAAATAAGGATCCTTAGCTGTACATCGAAGCCCCTCTTCAGCTTAATGCTCGACTGAAGCCAGATGTGCTACGTCTACAGACACCGTCCAGGATGATTTGCACGTGTGGAAAACATGCGCATGTGCACCCAAATTGGGAGGTGATACTCCATTTCAACTTCCTTTCCATACAAGGAATCACTCATCACCCAGCACCCCACTCTATAAACCCAAACTCGGTGGACGTCGCCGGATTTCCTCGTCGCCATGGTGAGGCGGCGCCACCGCCTCGTGGCCCGTGGCGTCTGTAAGAGTTCTGAGAGCCCTGACGACACCGGCGACGACACCGGCGACTCCGGCCACCACCCCATTCCCCCTTGCGACAAGTCTTGACGACGCTTCTGGCGCCCATCCATCCTTTCAACCCCTTTCGGCAACGTCACCGGGGCTTACGTCACCCCCCCAGTGATGTCGCCGGAGGCTGGGCCTTTTGTCGCACCCCAAAATCTTTGCACAGCCCTTCCAGCACATCTTCTACCTCCTGCATAGATGGCCTTGCGGAGGGAGCGGTATCAAAGCACTTCAAAATCAAGTCCTTGAGTGTGTTGGGGCATTCTTCTGGAATCTGAAAAGCGAGCTTCCCAATTGACTGCATTTTCATTAGAGCGTGCCCTTCAGCACCGCCATAGGGCAGTGAGCTTGTCCTCCGTACCATGTTGGCCACCAACTCATTCATGACGACTCCAAAGGAGTAGACGTCACTCTTGCGGCTGTGCCGCTTACCATTGTGGAGTTCCGGAGGGCGGTACATTTCCGTGCCAGGCTGGGGCGTGACAGTCGTCACTCTTGAATCCTCCAACTGACCCACGGTCAGGCCAAAATCACACACCTGAACGATGGGGATCTGGCTCTGGGCCAGGTGGTTCGACTCTTCCCCGCGTTGACCTTCTGAATCTGTTCCTGTGAACACGAGAAAGTTCTGGGGCTTGATGTCTCGATGGACCAACCGCTTGTCGTGGAGGTGGCGGAGCCCAGATGCCGCCTGGCGCAGCACCTGGATGAACAACTGCGTATTGTCACCCAAAGGTTGGCGTTTGCACCACCATGCCAGGTCTCCATCTGCAAGGTCCAGCACCATGACACCGTTTGTCCCGATTGCCAGGATCCTGGCGACATTGGGGTGTGTTATCGAGGCTTGTAGGACCACCTCGGAATAGAATTGCGCCAGCTTCTCCCAAGGCATCTCATATGCTCCTGGTATGACTTTCTTCACTGCAACGTCATCACCCGGGCACACTGATTTGGTCCCTTCTCCTATGGCGGGGCCCTTCCACTGAGCTCTGTGTACCTCATTGTGGCGTGTACGCCCAATTGGTGCCTCAAGGTTTGGAATCATGTAGTCCCCTTCCTCGATGAACGTCAAATTATCGAGTTTTCTTTGCAATTCCAACTTCAACTGCTGCCATTCTCCCAAAAACTTTGAGGGCTCGCCATCGGTCCTCTCGCTGAACAAGAAGCGTAGACAATCGTTGAGCCATTGCCTGTCTTCAAGGACCCTGTCCTCCGGTATGCTGCTTCGCACAATATAGTACACACTGCGTTTGTTCAAATGTTCCTCAAGGATCTGGCTGAGCCTTTCCGCGAGCCATTTAGCGTCGCCCACAGTGTAGAATTTGTCAAGGTCAAAACGTCGGGCATGCCTCCCAATCATCCGCTTGCACGCCCTGAGGGTGACCATCAGCTCTTCATGAGGCTCGTTGCCCCATACTTTCACCGTGGCCATCATCTGATCTTGCAAAAACTGCAAAATTTTGTTGTTGTACCTCGCTTCGGAAATCAGACGTGCTGTTTCTTCAACCAATCCCTTAGGAGATGTCCCCGCCTGCCCCAGCATCAACACGACCTTTTAAACCGGCATAGGGTGATAAGAAGTAATCGTGCATACGTGCGGGTATGACTTGACATTCCTCCCAACTACAAAATGAAACTTCTGGGGTCGCACGTGTGATTTACAGATGAGAACTCAAAACAAGAATCGACAGAGTTCCAATATCTTGTTTTCCATTGAAGTGTTGGCACATCTAGAGTGCATACCATTGCTTGGGGATGGTGTGGGATGGAATGAGAAGCGGTTGCTGGAATGACACATCCCATTACCACGCAACCTCGGAATAGCAAATTTATAAAGAGCGAAAAACGGAAATGCCTTTCGCTTTGCAAAATGAGCACCTGTTCAGAGGCTTGCCACTGTATTGCCAAGATATATCCTCAAAATTTGAATTGTTTTCCCTGAATCCACCGGTCATCACATCTTCACAATTCCTGGGGTATCACGGCACATTCTTTGCATGCACTCACCACTGCATCGTAATTCACTCTACTTGTGATTAGAAGGCCATCGTGAGTTTCTGCACGAGTCATGTACTTGTCAATGTCCAGCAGCAGCATGCAATAAACCTTGCTTTTACCCACTACAAGAGCGTAATCCACTTTCACACAAGGCAGAGATGGATACTTGATCACCTGCTCGCTTGAAATGGCACTGCCATCTCCTTTGCCTACATTGTCCATCTTCATGTGAGCATAACTAGGCAGCTCCTCGGAATCGTGGCCTAGGCCATGAGTTTGAATGTGTCGATTTGGAAGGCCAGCAAATCTCCGCTTCTCGGGCAGTCCCGAATCTTCATCGTCAGAATCTTCAGCCGAGCCCATTTCACACATTGTTGCCACGCGCACAGCACCACTGCCAGAATCACTTGTTCTGTGATACTGGAGAGCCATGATGGCCTGCTTGTGGCCCAATTCACTCGATTCTGTTTCAAACAAACCCTGTTCAATACCAACAAGATGTGAATCCTGGGCCAGGACAGCATTGGTGCAAAATCTCTGTCTACCAAGTAGTCCTGAATCTTCATCACCAGAATCTTCAGCCGAGTCTGTTTCACACTCCGTTGCCACGTGCACAGCACTGTTCCCATCATTACTTTCTACGCGATTGTGAGCAGTCATGGTTGCCTGTTCGGTGTCCAGCTCACTCGCGCCTGGTTCACCCAAGTCCCGTTCAGGAGCAACGTGATCTGAGTCCAGGGCCTGGACAGCATTGGGCTGCATCATTGAACGCATTTGCTGAGCATCGCCTTCCGCTTGGTGTGTATCTTCCATCCGTGAAACAGTCTCGCCCTCTTTGCTGGAAGGATCATTGCTAGACACCTGAGAAAAGGCACAATCGAGTGAACACAGTACAGGAGCAGTTCAGACTTAATCATGCCAAATCAAAGAATCCATGTCTGCGCTGCAGTACAGGGTGCAAAGCCAGGTTGTGTGCATCAATGAATGCTGCTGCATAACACCAGTTATCAGGCAGTGTGTAGGCTGGCGCACGGACCAGGCACCTAGTTGTTCTTTACGCAACAAAAGATGCCAGGACAGGCAGGTCCTGGCAGGTTATTCCATTTCGTAAATATACACACATTTCTTTTGCCACCATGCACGATGAAGTAGACATCTGCACCCATCTTTTGCCTTGGTAGTGATGAATAAGCGCCGAATAAATGTTACAAAGGGGAGGTCCCATGTGATGAATGCGCGTCGCCACCACACGACGGTCGACCCCCGAGACGACTACACATTGGTATGCCAATAGATACATATTGAAAAAGGCGGATTGCAGACAACAAACAGCGGCTTGTGGCCAGCTCAAAACCGGCTGTCATGCACGTGTCAAATGGGTTCCAAACACAGAGACAAAAAGGGCGCAGATCACAACTTACAACCACATTGTCACATTGCCAACATGTGTGACCGGACGTATGTGTTAGCGCATTTACGAATACGCATGTGGAAATATGCGATACGTATGCGCACCAGAATCATAGTGGAATTTCCCATGTGGCCTCGTAAAACGAAAACACTCCGTTCATACCATATCCCCCGTTCATACCAAATCCCCCGTTCATACCAAATCCCCCGCTGCCACTACATTACTGCATATAAAAATATATTGCAAATTGTGTCGCCAATGAAAAAACTATTGAGCGAAAATGGCATTTTCTTCCAAAGGAATGGCTCTTGATAAATTATCAAGAACTTGGAGAAATTTATTGAGAACCTTCCGAGTGATTTGAACGATTCAAATCCATTGTTTTGGAATGTCCTTAAATGATCATGCCTTCCATTAAGTTTTGCAATTTTTTTCGTTGCCGCTGCTCGCTCATACCTCTCACCAGGGGCACCAACAACGGCACTCACCTCCGCGGAGTTGGGCGCCCTGGACCGACCCACCATATGCAGGAAAGTCAACACGCCACATGTGGTCACGGTGGCGGCGATGGTGCCAATTGTTTTGTGGGTCCACCTCGCGTAACATACCTGCACCCAAACATCGTGCATTCTTTGTAGTTTACTTCGAGTCATACACACAAACATTAACCACATTCAGGAAGGACGTGAAGGAATATTCCTGCATTTTAACACTGCCATACCTCCTGATGCAGATCCTGCATGCAGGGAAATCAATGCCAGTCGATTCGCAGCCAGCTGTGATCAACGATTAGTGAACATTTCAGCAACAGATTCCAAGTCTCGAGAACTTTCGCATACAAACCGGCTGTTGGAAATAGGATGCAAACCCACGCGTGTATCACATTGCGCACGTTGCTTATTGCATTTCTGCAAATGGACTTCGTTTGCCATTGTCCGTCAACAGTGTAATCTCTCCGCAGACCTAAAGTCTAATCTGCACAAATGGAGACAGTGGAATACCATGGCAGGAACAAAGAACTGACACCCACCGCCCAGAAATATTCCTGAATTCCCTGTGGTCGCCCTGACGGCCCACCCACTGCGTTTGCCGTTGCCTTTATGGTGGCGCGGCGCGACCGCAAGAATTGGATATTCTGGAACATTTGTGTAGCATTGGATTGCAGCATGTCCGAGAACTCCTCCCAACCTGGCTTCGCACCGTCAGGGAAGCCCACCTGCCCATAGACAACTGCAGGCTCAAAATTTCTCATTTGGAAGCTATCGAATGTAGTCTGCAATCTGCGACAGAGCGCCATACACAATCCGAAAGATCTCAACTTCTCCCATTGCTCAAGTTGCCTTGTTAACGGATCTAAATAGAATCACATTGCATAAAACCGCATTCAGCATCGAAATTGGTGACGCAGTTTGCAAAGTTCAATGCTGTCATGGATATTTTATCCAGGAGTTTGTTTTGCACTTCTATGGGTGAGTGGAATTACTTCAACGTCATTTCGGTCGCCTGAATTTTTAACTTGTTGGCGGGATGGGAGCATATGGCCCAGGCATTCTCTTAGGGCATGCTCACTGCTGCTGTTTGCATCGTGGTGGGTTTGGCAAGATCCTTGGTGAATTTGGAAGAGGGGAATGTGCATACTGGCAATAAGTCCAATATCCCAAATATCGAATATACCTGATATACAAGATCCAATTTTGAACAGGAATTATCATATACCTGACATCGGAAACGATATGAACACCACATCCTGGGATGCGAACATATCCTGGACATGCATACCCAGTACATTCAAATTTCTCATGGGAAGCTGCTCAAACTTCAGGTTAATGTGCTCATTTGGCAGCATTTGCACAATGCTTTGCCAGTGAACAATTATGTTCAGTGGCCCAGGCCAATCCAATGCCTTCCAATTGCACGATTTTCTTTGCCAAGGGAAGAAACTGATGTTTATGTGAAGTGGCACGCATTTCAAATAAAGGCGCCATCTTCCTGGTGTACATAACGCCAGTGTGTGTTTGATCTGGCGAACTTACCTAAACGAATAGTACTTACCTATTATATTCAAATCCATTTCGCTGACATTCCTTTCTTATCACATGTACACAATTAGCAAAAAGTAGCGCAAGGAAGAGGGTGAAATCCCTCTATAAGGGAAGGCTCTATGTAGAGTGTTTTTTAAGCTTAGCATCAACTCGACGCTGGGCGACCTGTGACGCTAGGAGGTTATGTACTTGCCACAAATCGACGTAAGGTGGACATTTGCCAAAAAATGCTGTTGATCAGCAGCGAGCAAGTCGCGACTTGTTTCTTACACCCCACTCCCACCCCTCCCCTCAAGCGTTTAATCCTCAAGGGAGCTCTTAAAATGATCAATTGACGATCTATCATGGCATTAAGAATCCCATTTTGCAGCTCACCAACATCAGTACAATTCTGACCGTTTTCTCCTCAAAAATACCTAAAGTTGTGTACAATTGTTGGGTAATGTTGCTGTGTCATCCTGGCATCGACATAAGGATTGACGCTATGGAGGGGGGAGAAGGTATGGGACAAACGTGAAATTGACGCCAAGCGTTGCAAAATCGGCACAGTGCCTCTCCTAAGGCACAGCTAATCGTGCAAACCGCCCTCACCTTAAAAGCAACGGTACCGTTCGTGACTCTCAGACTAAGAAATTCGACAACATGTCGCCCAGTCGTATTTATGACAATGTCTGTGAACTCCCTCATGAAGACGCCCCGCTCTGTTAATGACATCTCTGGGGGATGTGCTCCAAAGTCGAATGTCAAGTTGCCATGAACAGTGGTGATTGGTCTGCGTAAAGATGCCTGCATCAAAAACCACAAAAGTCCAATGAAACTTTGAGACAATCAGCCGATCAGATGCATAAGAGTACAACGTAATGGTTAGTCACGATCAGAAATCGTCAATTCTGGGGACATACTCCAAGTGGCATGATCATAGGGTAATAGTTGACATTAGGGAAAATGACAAAAGGGGGTCCTCTGTGAGATATATTGACAGAAAGGGGTCCTATGTGACAAAAGGGGTTCCTCTCTTGGGGTGCATTTGACAAAGGGGGTTCTCTGTCCAGCCCTTGCACATTAGATGCCTTGCCAGAC